ACGTCATTTCAGCTCCCAAAAGGTGCAATGACGCCTTGCTGCCTTCAACATCCGGTCTCGTCACCGGTACCGTGGTCCAACCTTATTGCACCGCCACAGACTTGCCAGACAGCGATGGGCAGCAAATGGGGCCAATCTTGGCAACAGGACATGGCCAGATGTCATTTTTTCAGATGAATCCAGGTTTAACTTATCCTTTGCAGATGGACGTCAACAGATTTACCGACGTAAAGGAGAAAGACTTGCGCCAAACTGTGTCCTTGAACATGATCGTTTTGGAGGGGGTGGTGTCATGATCAGACCACAGACCACCAGAGGCTGCAGACCATCCAACAGCTGTTCCTGAGAAATGTGTGTCTTTCAATGCCCCAAAGACTGCGAGCATGTCTTGCAGCGCACGGTGGACACACACGATATTGACTGCAAGTGACCCCTCATTTGTTTGATGTCGTTGTTGCGTCACTGATGTTGTTGTTGACTGGACATTTTCAGATGAAATTATTCACAGATTTTCACTTAAAACATATCTGCCAGTTAGGTTTATATATGCTGAAATTAGTGTGAGTACAGAAAGTATGAATGTTAAATTGCGTTTTTAATGGCTTACAGTATATTATATTATTTTTGCCGAGAAATATGAGAAACGTATGTATATATTCATATAAATAATAATTAGAACCTAACCGGATACCCGGCATAGAGTACAGCCAAAAACATGAACACATTGGTCGAATTATCAGACAGTGTGCTTCTCTTCATTCCAACGGTTCAGTGATGAATTTTCAGTTACATCCACAGATTTGTGCTAAATATATATTACATACAATCTTACTTGCATTTCCAATCGTTGCTGTTGAAATAAAAGTGTGAATGTGTAACACTATTGATTATTTTCCTATGAAAAGGATGTTTAAATATGTATTATATAGACTGGTTGCACAGCATGACTGAAATGTTGTGGTTTTGATTGGTGATACTATGGCGGCATATTATTTTGTGGACAAAATGTAAATAAAATTCATGCATATCTCATCGTGATTATTTATTAATATATTTGTTAACCTTTCATTGATGGTATTTAGTCATGAAATCACAACAAAGCGCCACAGAGCCATATAATAACTGGCAACATACAAAAGCAACTAAACCGTAAGTTTTTGATGTCACTGGCATATTGAAGAACCAGACAGGTTTATTTCATAAATGTGGCCATGAGGCTAATATACAAAATCACAATTTGGATGAATTGTTTACTGAGCGCATGGACATGATTTTGTTTACAAAATTACTACACGGAGTGTGACATTGTGGTTCTTAGTATTTAGAAGATGTACGATTTCTTTGTTTATGTGTGTTCATGATACAGATACATGGTATGAAGTGAGTTCTTTCCGCTGCATATAGAGGACATTTGATTAATACATGGTACTCATCTCCTGGTACACAATAATCACACAAAGCTACACTAATGTCATTGTCTTTAGATCTTCTATATGAAACTATTTTCAGAATGGTGGAGCCGCATCTAATTTTCTATTAAAACTATGCGCAGATGTAACAAAGAGAGTGCAATCAAATACAATTCTCGAACAATATCAGATTTAATAGCAAAATACATGTACAATGATCTTGAGTTTCTCATATCTTGCGTCCATTGTTGGTAGTACATATCTTTACAACGTTGTTTTAAAGATATAAAAACAGTTCATGGTTTCCAACATTTTGATCATAATACATCCATACATAAGCAAAGCCATGTTGAAATAACTTTGATCGTAGTGCCGAAGCCCAGTTAACATCTCCATTATCGTCTAGACGCTTCAACATATCATACGAGCGACGTGAGTAACGTGTGTCTGGTTGCCGAAGCCCAGTTAACATCTCCATTATCGTCTAAACGTTTCAACATATCATACGAGCGACGTGAGTAACGTGTGTCTGGTTACCGAAGCCCAGTTAACATCTTCATTGTCGTCTAAACGTTTCAACATATCATACGAGCGACGTGAGTAACGTGTGTCTGGTTGCCGAAGCCCAGTTAACATCTCCATTATCGTCTAGACGCTTCAACATATCATACGAGCGACGTGAGTAACGTGTGTCTGGTTGCCGAAGCCCAGTTAACATCTCCATTATCGTCTAGACGCTTCAACATATCATACGAGCGACGTGAGTAACATGTGTCTGGTTGCCGAAGCCCATTTAACATCTCCATTATCGTCTAAACGTTTCAACATATCATACGAGCGACGTGAGTAACGTGTGTCTGGTTACCGAAGCCCAGTTAACATCTTCATTGTCGTCTAAACGTTTCAACATATCATACGAGCGACGTGAGTAACGTGTGTCTGGTTGCCGAAGCCCAGTTAACATCTTCATTGTCGTCTAAACGTTTCAACATATCATACGAGCGACGTGAGTAACGTGTGTCTGGTTGCCGAAGCCCAGTTAACATCTCCATTATCGTCTAAACGTTTCAACATATCATACGAGCGACGTGAGTAACGTGTGTCTGGTTGCCGAAGCCCAGTTCACATCTCCATTATCGTCTAAACGTTTCAACATATCATACGAGCGACGTGAGTAACGTGTGTCTGGTTGCCGAAGCCCAGTTAACATCTTCATTGTCGTCTAAACGTTTCAACATATCATACGAGCGACGTGAGTAACGTGTGTCTGGTTGCCGAAGCCCATTTAACATCTCCATTATCGTCTAAACGTTTCAACATATCATACGAGCGACGTGAGTAACGTGTGTCTGGTTGCCGAAGCCCAGTTAACATCTCCATTGTCGTCTAGACGCTTCAACATATCATACGAGCGACGTGAGTAACGTGTGTCTGGTTGCCGAAGCCCAGTTGATATCTCCATTGTCGTTTAGACGCTTCAACATATCATACGAGCGACGTGAGTAACGTGTGTCTGGTTGCCGAAGCCCAGTTGATATCTCCATTGTCGTCTAGACGCTTCAACATATCATACGAGCGACGTGAGTAACGTGTCTGGATGCCGAAGCCCACGTATCCATTATGATATCATACGAACGTGACAACACTGGTTGCCGAAGCCCAGTTGATATCTCCATTGTCGTCTAGACGCTTCAACATATCATACGTTCTGGATGCCGAAGCAGATGATCCCATCGTGGTTCATGATCCCATCGTGGTTGGATGCTATTCACGAGCCCATTGGATTTGGAAAACGTTGATTTAGGCCCTATATGAACACCACCCGTATGTTCACCATACATGTACCGATGAAATATCTGAATATATATTACCCACTTCCTGAAATGAACATAGTTTTTCAATCTGTTATTGTTTATTAAGCTGACTGTTCTTGTTGGTTGACGCCTTACCTAAGACACAGACCAGATATATGACGGCATATTCTGACTTAAAATGGCCTCCACATATTAGTTGTTTACTAGAATAGGTAATGCACGCTAGATAATACCGGGGCATTCGAACATAAATCTACACACCTTGCTACTCAGGGAAAGGCTACAGAAAGATGTACGTCTGTCTGTTAAAATACTAGTCTCTCACTCACACTCACACACACACACACACACACACACACACACACACACACACACACAGAGTACGTCACAGGGGCAACCTACAAAAGGAACTTAAGGTGTTCGTCAGTATGATTTCAAGAATATCCAAATGACCTGCTTGCTATCGTGGTTTGAAACTCGGCTATTGAACCGTTGAAGCAAACCTGCACAGTCATTGTGTATCTGTTGTGGTGTCGTTGGCGGCGTATGTAGCAGCTTGAAAGGACATAATGGGAGCTCGATAAACGAATGTCAATATCCAGACAGCCCGTTGCTGTATCATAACGCATGATCTTTGTAGATGATGAAGGCTTAAGTTTTATAACTAGGTTAGATAAACTAACACTCGGTTTTCCGGGCTTGGTCCCTCCGTCACGGCATGTTTTGGCTGGTTGTTTTGTTGTTTAACGCCGCACTCAGCAATATTCAAGCTACTAGTATATGGCGGAGGTCTGTAAATAATCGAGTCTGGACCAGACCATCGAGTGAATATGCATCGATCCACATGTGTCAACTAAGTCAACGAGCCTGACCACCCGATCCCGTTAGTCGCCTCTTACAATTATGGGTTGCTGAAGACCAATTCTCTACTTTACTAAGAAAGAGTAATCCCAAATATAACATATAGTACATTTGATCACTTTCTGAATGGCATTGTGTAATCATAGCTTTCGGCCGTGGGAGCCGTGCCAATTTACACATATCAGAGGGGTACACAAAGTCCGCAGTCTAGACTACCAGTTGTCCGACTTTCATTTTTGGGGAAGTCGCGGTGGCTGAGCGGGTTAGGCGGCTGACTTTGTGTGCTGGCGATTAAGTGCCTGACTCTGAGGGTGTGGGTTCGAATCCCGGATGGGACTCAACCCAACGAAAGTACTAGAACCTGTACTTGACTAAGAAAGTGTAATCCCAAATATAACATATGTTACATTTCTAAATAGCATTGTGTAATCAAGTCTAACCCGTATCTTCACAGGTCACATGAACTGTGTATGTGTCATGATTCTTCACAAAAGTGTTATTAACTGCATTCAACTTTATAAAATATAAGTCAATAACAGTAAAATGAAATTATAGTTTTCAAAAGCGTAATAAGCAAAAGTATATTTCCCACATAGCAAACATAATACTTGTTAGAAGAGAGTGATGTCACACTCATACTTGTGCTCGTAGGAGCGCCGTCGCTGTTTGGAAGCATTTAGTTTGATCTCTGTAATCTATATATCTTAAGATAAAGTAGAACAAATATGACATGAGAGGCATTTAGGGCACCGAGCTGTCAGGAAGGATACTAATATATGGATGAACAACTTCTTTATTACAGCGAGAGCGACGTATTTGTGTTGGTTCAAACACCGTTATGAAGCAAGATGAGTGGGTGAGTAGGTTTTACGCCGCTTTTAGCAATATTCCAGCAATATCACGGCGAGGACAACAGAAATGGGCTTCACACATTGTACCCATATGGGAATGGAACCCGCGTCTTCAGAGTGACGAACGAACGCTTTAACCACTAGGCTACCTCACCCCCCAAGCAAGTGATGAGCAGAAAAAGGATGGTGGGCATACTTGTACTCTCTCACACTTGTATATATACATCTCCTTATTCTGGTCATCCATATATTGTTATCCTTCCTTACATTTACAGTATATGTGTTTCATACCCATTTGCCACATTTGTATAATTTGTTATAAACTTCCTATCCATAATCACTATCAGCCCATATGGGTGTTTTAGGGTGGTGGAATTTTTGTGTAATTATATTCTCACATATCTTACTTTCACATATCTGATGAGGCCTTAGACAGATGGACACCCTTGATACCAATTTGCAACACAGGTAGAGGCAAGCACCCAGCGCCCATTGTAAGTACTTCTAAACAGTCTCACTGGAAGTTACACAAAGGAAACAATGCCATAGTGACGGAGTGGACCTGCCTTCTGGTATGTGCAGAAACGGAATTACATCATCCTGAGTTTTCCTTCTTGGCCAATAACAGTCACTGTCGTACTTGTTTTCTTTGGCTGGTGGTTTATCTTTTCGGGTTTTGTTTTACATACGTTCTATGAATATGCTCATCAAAACGTCATATATGGCCTACGCGTTGTTCCTTATTTTGGCTTGAATCAGATGTAAGTTTTGAAGGTACGTTGCATCAGTTGGTTCCAGTTCCACTGCCCGTGTGAAAGATACCTCGGCCTGGTCAGTGTTTCCCCACCGATGGTACAGCACACCTGGCAATAGCAAACCGTTAAGCTGGAGGACACACAAACAAAGGGGACGGACAAACACAATGATGGTATATTCCGCTTACGGACGCTAGATCAAGTGACGCAATAAAGTAAAGGTCTTAATTTTAAAAAACGAATTTAGGAGAATACTATAACTCATCCAACTATACAAATTATGAACTCTGAAACAGACAAGGGGATTTGCAACACCTATACGTGGGTGCAGAATGGTGCATTCAAAGTGCATGTTATGAGCCTGCGGCTGGATGCATTTGAAACTTAACTAAGATGTCTGTCAAAATTCTGGAACATGACAGAAAATATTTGGACCATTATTTTCTCATGAATATAGAACATGATACCCATTGTTGACCGTCCTTTTGGTGAAAGGGGCAAAATAGCTGTGAGCAATATTACCTAGGTTGTGATGGAACTTGGCGCTGTGTGGGTCTATCTGTAGTCCAGCCAGGAACAAGTCCTCACTTTCCTGGAACTTATCCACCATGATGTAAGTATTTGCCAGATGGAACATCAGGTTTGTTTCCTTTGGCAGTGCCTTCAGTGCTTCTATACCAACCTCAATAGCTTTGTCGTACTTCTCTGAATGAAAGGTAGAAGTATATCTAAATCATAAATATCTGTTATCACACCGAAAATATCATATCGCTGGAAAAGAAGGTTATTGCAAAAACATCTACTTTTGACCCATGACTCAGTCTTGCCTACAGATACATGAGGACTTGAGATTAACCCTTTCACTGACAATTCTATTGATGTTTAAGGTGCTATGAATTAAAAAGAAGCATTTAAGACAAGACATACATTTTCCAGATATGTTTGAAACTTGTATTATTATTCTGTACGAGTTACAAAAACAAAACGAAATATATTTTATTCACATGAAACGATGAATAAAATATGTTTTTGAATGTTATTATTATATACTCTCCAAAAAAGAAACGCATCATGAAAATAGCAATTTCATGTAGCAATGAATTAAAACGTGATTCATATTTTACAAAGGTTTTGCTCTGTTTATGAGTCCTATGGTGTTTATGTTTTGAAACATCACAACAAAACGCACCATCCGTAAAATACCCGTATTTAACAGCATGATTTTCAATTTCGGCGTGTAGTGTCACAGAATACACAATTCACATGCAATGCTCGTGAAAGTTGGGGATCATATAGTCTCAATGATGGGTATAAAAGGTTGATCGCTGTCTATCGATTATGCACTGTATTTGGAATATTGTTGACGAACGCAAAATGCCACGTCTAAGTGAAGCCAACCGTCATATCGCCATTGGTTTGCTTGAAGCTGGCCAGTCTCAACGTGCAGTTGCCCGACGCATGAATGTTCACCAAAGCACCATTTCACGGCTCTGGGAGAAATATCGCCGGCAGAATGCGGTAGCAGGTGTCCCTCGTAGTGGGCGACCTCGAGCGACCACTGCGGCGCAGGATCGCTACATCCGGGTACATCACCTGCGTCATCGAACAGCTACGGCGACCAGTACCGCTCGACAAATACCCGGATTGAGGAGGCTTTCTGCACAAACCGTCAGGAACAGGTTGAGAGAGACTGGTTTACGTGCCAGAAGACCTTATTTTGGCCCTGTGCTTCGACAACAACATCGTCGACATCGAGTTCAATGGTGCACCAACGTTCAGGCCTGGAACCTACCGAATTGGCGTAGAATCTGGTTCAGTGATGAATCACGATTTCTATTGGAATGACGCGATGGAAGAATGCGGGTGTGCAGACGTCGACGTGAACGTTTCGCCGACGCTTGCGTTCCCCAGGTTGACAGTTTCGGCCGGGGAGGTGTTATGATGTGGGGGGCGATCACCTGCCGTAGGAGAAGTGATTTGGAGATGATCCAGGGTAACCTGACAGCTCAACGAGACTGTAACGACATCCTACGCCCACACATCCTTCCAAGCATTGATCGCCAGAGGGAGTTGTTTCAACAGGACAATTTTAGGCCCCACACAGCACGTCACACTAGAGACTTCCTCCAGAACCACAACATAAATGTGCTCCCCTTGCCCTCAAGATCACCGGACTTAAACCCGATCGAACATCTGTGGGATGCCCTGGACAGACGGGTGCAACGCCGTAACCCTCAGCCCCAGACACTTCAGCAACTCGCACAGGCACTACAGGCAGAGTGGGCTGCAATTGGGCAACACGAGATTCTGAGACTTATTCGTTCGATGCCGAGGCGATGCCGTGCAGTTCTGGATGCCCACGGTGGTCACACGAGGTATTGACTTCAGCGCCAACACACGTCTCCATGTGACACTCAAACTGACTTTCCTCGAGTTGGTGCCAAAGACGGATCAGTCTGCATTCCCAGTTTGCAATTTCGCTATATTTCATTGACTCATAAAGCCTACAAGATGTTTCAAAATAAACATAAAATTACAGTTGAAGAGAGTATATAATACATAGGTAACTCGTGTTAGCTCGCAATGAGGCTAAGATTAGATCTTTGAAACGATGAATAAAATAGGTTTTTGAAGTTAATTATTTATGTTATACGTACCTCAGACAGGTAACTCGAGTTAGCTCGCAATTAGGTTAAGACTAGATCCCCAGCAAATTCGAACCCAGGGTTGTGTATCTTTGCTCATTCTATCAGTCACAGAATTAACTAATCTCGATACGAGTATTTACATGTCAGCGTCATATAGCTGGAATGTTGGTGATTGTGGATTCCAACAACTACAGCAACGACAATCAACTCACTCAAGTCAATCAGAAGCAGGATGGCGTTTTTCCATGCTGGCGTGTAACGGGGGTATAAATCGGTTGCATTTCGCCATGCACTGATCGCTTCGGTAGATCGTCCCGTGCCTCGATACTAATGAAACATTAAATAAACAGCCGTCATTACAAGGCAAACAATTTTCCGGGGGATGTTTCTTTTTCTTTTATAACATAACACAGATTATATTACAATCTAATTATTGTTTGTTTTTTAACGCCGCACTCAGCAATATTCCAGCTATATGGCGTCGGTCTGTAAATACTCGAGTCTGGACCAGATAATCCAGTGATACATATCATGAGCATCGATGAGCATCACCAGGATACAATGACATGTGTCAACCAGTTCTGATCACCCGATCCCGTTAGTCGCCTGTTTTGACAAGCATGGGTTGATGATGACCAACTCTAACACGGAGCTACATGCGTCACATAAAATAATTGAAAATTACGAGAGAAATTATTTGTTCAGTGGCAGTCCAAAGGCTACTGGAAATATACACAAATGTACAAAAAAGAATTAAATATCCCCTTACATGGACAAATGTCAATTCAGAAGGCATTACCATCAATTTATCATGAATAGGCTTGAATCTGACTATAAACCTGTCACAAATATATGACGTTTTGTTTCGGGGGAATGCAGGAAACCCTTTGAATCTTGTAGTTCCTGTATTAAATTCTTGATTTCCACAATATCCCAGGAGATACAGATTTAATGATTTACATAACAACTCTTTCTGACGTGGAAAACATACAAAATTCCCAAGGTTAAAATAGCATTTAACGCATTTGTTGTCTTCTCGAAGAGCTTCAAGGAAGCTTGTCTCTGCCAATTCATTCTTCTTCAGTTCTGCTCGAACTACGCCGAGGTCCATCAACGCCTCTACGTTGTCTGATCTGTCAATGTAAGGAAAACATTATGCAAAGTTTTCATTTCATAATGCTTGACTCAAGTAATATTTTTGAGTGGCATAGCAAAATATGCATACTTATTATATAAAAATATTAGCCAGTCTCTATTTTGTGCCGAAACAGATTCCATAAAAGGTACAAGAGTTGTGCAAATAATATAATAATAAGATCAGTCATGACACCGGGTGTTTACGAAAAGGGTTAGAATGTTCAGCCCTACCAGTGACACCTACCACTAACACTCTGCGAAATATAAAGTCTTTAATTATTTTTTTCGGGTTGGGGTGTCATTTAATTGTTTTTATTACAAAGTCATCTTGGTGTATGTGTTTTTTGTGTAAAGTGTTTATTGATACCAGACACCGCAAAGCAGGATACCTGCCATACGGCCTCCAGGTATATTAAAAAAGGGCTGTGAGGAACCGTACAAGTGGTTAAAGCGCCCACACATCATGCTGAAGACCCGGGTACGATTCCCCACATGGGTACAATGTGTAAAGCCCATTTTTGGTGATATTGCTGGAACATTGCTGAAAGCGGCGTAAAACCATACTCACTCACTCACTCTAAATACATAAGACAATTAAATGATGGACCACATAATCAAGTGACATGAAAACAATAAACTTGCAAACACCTTTTTAATGAAGTTATTACTTTAAAGTACTTTTGTTTGGGTAAAATAGAGTCTTCATTGACTCTCCGGAGCCGATACTTCCCAATACTTTGGCTGTTTCTCTTATCTTTCAGTAGGGAGTGGAATATGCCCTTTCTAAATGTCTATTAAAATGGCTATCTATCAAGCGCCTGTTTCCGCGCACGTGTGCATGCTCTAGCCGCCATCACATTATTACCCCGGATAACCCAAGCAAGCTGCCTTTGAGGCGGCAGAAGGTTAACAGTCATACAAATTATCCCACTGGGTTCACTGCTGGGTGAACAGAGGAAATTGAACAAACTCACTTAAATAAAGGTAATTTCTTATGGACATTTGTTATGCGCTATAATCCACACACTAGTGCATGCAGGGGGAAGAGGGAGAGAGTCAGTTATATACAGAGGAGAAAAGGTAAGTCTTAAGTCGTGATTTGAAAGCTGTCAGAGAATCAGAGTCTTTGATGTGGACTGGCAATGAATTCCATAGTCTTGGGGCTGCATGAAAGAACGATCGTTTACCAAATGAGTAAAGTCGAAAAGTTGGTACAGTAAGTAGGAGCTGGTTTTGAGATCGAAGAGTTCTGACTGGTGTGTATACAGCGATCAAGTCAGTGAGGTAGGATGGGGCTTGGTTGTGGAGGCATTTGTAGGGTTAGACCACAAGTGCGAGGTATGCATAATTTGTGGGGCAGGACTGATGTCATAGAAACTCTCAGGAGTCAGGCTGCCAAACCCGGTCTCCCATCCAAAGACTCTCTCTGACCATCATTGCTTAACTTCAGCTTATTTGTGACCTGGGCCCCGTTCCTCAAAGCGATCGTAGCGCTACGACAGTCGTAAGTCTATGTTAAAGTATGGGAGTTATGATCACCTTAGCGCAACGATCGCTTTGAGGAACGGGGCCCTGGTCTCACAGGGCCACACACCACCACCAAGATGCATGTAGATGGACGCTGCTGTACCTGATAGCGACAGATCTCTCAAGCAGCTGTTCAGCCTCCAGCATCTCGCCTTCACGTCTGAAGATGACGGCCAAGTAAAGCATTGATGCGTAGTCCTGAGAATTCAACCTAATGGGAAAACGATCCTTAAATGAAAATATAACTGTGTTGCTGTCAATACAAGCAGCGATGTTGAAGAACATATGTGTAACCAGTAATTAGGTTTTAATCAAACATTACATAAAATGTTATGAATGTGCATTAGTTATTGAACCTAGGCGTTATGACACAATGTTATCATATTTACACAACAATACGTATTTGGTTAAATGCATTCTCTGAAATTGCCAAGCTAAGGAAATGTAGAATGGATATTACCGTTTCCTTCTATGGCGACATTATATCTTAAATCATTAGGAATTTAATGTATAGTTTTTGTTTTGGAAAACCAACTGTTTAGAATGCTCTTAAAACACTGCCCACTAACACAGAAAAGAACTTACTCAATCGCGCGTCTGTATTTTATGATGGCAGCGTCTGTTTTGTTGCTGGCATCATAATACATGGCTTGTCCCATCTGAATCTAGAATTACAAACAGTTCAAAACCCTGCACCATGCTGTCTGTAAATAGTAGAGCATTGACAAGATTCTCCATTTGTAGATGGTGTTTTCAACAAGTCACGTGCCATCAAGAGGTCACCCAACAAAACCACTCGATCCAAGCCTTCTCTTGCAACAAGCATAGGCTGCCAGAAAGCAATAGAATCAGGAAATCCCATAGTGTTTGCTTACACCTGATTTACAAAAATACATTTTCCTGATAGGGAAAAACTAGAACCGAATTGTATGCACTTGTATAGTATTATAATTCCTTTAAAAGATATCAATGTTAAATACACATCAGACATAACACAACACAGAAGGTACGATATTTAATTGCCATGGTGGATTTATACGTGATGTAAAATACGTTAAACCAATTTCTTTCACGTAATATGTTAATGTGTTATGCAGTGGAGTTCATTCTATTATATAGTAGTGATTTACTTTGACAGACTCAAAAGAGGAGCGGTGGGACAGCCTTAGAGTTAATGCAATCATTCGTCACGCTGAAGACCGTGGATCAATTTCCCCGCATGAGTACACTGTGTGAAGCCCATTGGCGTCTCACGCCATCATATTGCTGGAAGTTTGAGAAAAGCGCCACAAAACTAAACTCACTCACTCACTCACTCACTCACTCGCACTCAAGTGAGGTATTGCTACCACGCTTACCTTTGCATTGTTTGGGCAGACCTTATCTCCTGACGTGTACAAAGCCAGAGGTACTCTCCATTCATTACTTCTCTGGATGGGAAAGTAGATGCATCATGTTATATTTGGGATTACACTTTCTCAATGAATCAGTGAAGTGCAGATTCTAGCACTTTTTAATGAGGTAGAGGACATGAAAGGATAGCTGTGTTGAAAAGGACGGGTGGATAACGAGGTGGGGTTAATGCATAAGGGGGACATGAAAGGATAGCTGTGTTGAGAAGGACGGGTGGATAACGAGGTAGGGTTAATGCATAAGGGGGACATGAAAGGATAGCTGTGTTGAGAAGGACGGGTGGAGAACGAGGTAGGATTAATGCATAAGGGGCAGAGGAAAACAGTGTTGGGAACTTGCTCGGTGAAGGAAATAGTGTTGTGGAAGAAGGTGGGAATGAATGTACTGATAGGAACTTGAATGGACAATAGTAGGTGGGCACGCATCGTTGATGTTGTTATTAAATGTTGCGATTATTTACAGATTCCTTGGTGAATTAGTTTCAATTTCAGGCACCTACCTGAATTGACCTAAGAACAAATACAGCTATGAGGAATGCGAGGCCCGCCGTAACCATCTGCAAAGCAAACATGGTCAAATTAAACATGGACATATTGAAAGCGAAAACATTTATACTGTACACTGATGTGCACGGTAAACTTCAATGAAAATGGCATTCACTGTAATTGACCACACTCTTGGTATTACGACTATCCTTTGGACTACTAATGGAAATATCCACGAAACTAAAGTTCATACGATCAACCAAGATGCACTTACATCTCAGGACTTTTAAAGCATGAAATCAACACCATAAGCGTGTATATAAAATTACCTGTCTGGCAGTAGAGTGAAATTTATAACAAATCTGTCTGGCTCCGAGCACCACCAACATACAGAAGCCAGCACAGGACAGGTACAGAATCCTCTCTGCGATCACGAAACCCACACGGAATAACAGGTTGCTGGCTGGCAGGAAGGGAACCCCTAATACTGCCAGGGACGTTATCAGGATGCTGTAGATAGAAACATTTACAACATGGAATCGTCGGACAAGATAAATCAGGCGTAGAAAGATCTACTCTAGAAACGGTTGGGTGAGTGAGTGAGTGAGTTATTATTTAACGTCACATCACGGTTGGCGATAATGGTGTAGCAAAGAAGTAATAAAAGAAAAACGGAAAACTAATCATACTGGGCCATATTCCAATCATATTCTGCAACATACTCTCCAAGCCCCTGATTAACTAGAATCCCGAGAATGTCGTAAGAAGGGCGAACACCATTATTCTTCTACATACTCTCCTAGCCCCTTCTTAACTTTGCCTATTTTTTCACATGTGATCTGTACGCAGAAGCGCAATTACGCTGTTTAGCCACGGTGGTTGACATTTAAACTACCAACAACTAGCCGAATACACTTTAAATACTATAACCTCTGAGGATATTAGTACTACTCACCGGCGATAATGTGTGACCTTCCCGTTACAGCAATGGAACACGATAGCACCAAACCCAGTCCAGAGAGCTATGACTGCCAGTATTCTTGGATCAGCCAATGAGGTGATGACAGGTATACAACCCATTGACCAATCACAGCACAGCCACCATGGATTCAACAGCAGCCAGATATTGATGGCATAGAGGTAGTTGTAGTTTAAAACCTAGACATAATTGATAACATATACTTCATTCACACAATTTCCAAAATGCCGTTAGATAATATATTTTCATAGTTAACAAAATGAGATTTCCAATATTCTAGGTAGAGTTTATTTGTATCTATATACGGGACTAATCCCAATCACTGACAGACGAACCCTTGAAGATAATTGCGTGACATCACTCTCTTCCAACAAACAATTACCTGTGAACATCCGGGTTAGAATTGTACAATCGACTCTGCTTTTGGCATAGATTTCTTATGAATGTGGAAACAGGGTTTTGTCGCTGCCATTGTCGTAAGAGGCGACTAACGGGATCGGGTGGTCAGACTTGGTTGACACATGTCATCGTATCCCATTTGCGTGGATAGATGCGCATGGTGTTGATCACTGGACTGCATGGTCCAGACTCGATTATTTACAGACCGCCGCCATATAGCTGGAACAGTGCTGAGTGCGGCGTTAAACATCAAACAGACACCAACAGACAACTGACTGTATTTGGCACATTCGTCACCACTCGCCTCTTTCCGTAACCTCCAAGAAGCATTCGTCACCACTCGCCTCTTTCCGTAACCTCCAAGAAGCATTCGTCACCACTCGCCTCTTTCCGTAACCTCCAAGAAGCGGCTTGTCCCGGAATAACACGAGTTGGTCACGAATGTATTTGGCAGAGAAGGGTCACACATGGTCATGTAGGACTTTTCCTGGTACAACGGGGCGGTGGGTAGCCAAGTGGTTTAAGCGCCCGCTCGCCACGCTGAAGACCCGGGTTCGATTCCCCATATTTGTTCAAAGCGTGAAGCCCGCCCTCCCTCTCTCACTCACTCACTCACTCACTCACTCACCCCTGTTACATCGTTTTTCAGCAGACTCTACTTACTCTGTATATTGTGCCATTGACAAAGGCATGCGGGATGATGTTGACATCGAATATAGGCATTGATCCCATGACCCGCAGTCGAATGTTCAGGACCAACACGCCGGTTATAAACAAGATGAGGTGACGCTGGATGAGACCATTGACCCATCGCGGTCGGTTAAACTGGAATATATGTAAAGGCATACAGTTCAAAGGTGCCATACAACATAACTAGTGGCAACATAACATGTGTCATATTTGGGATTACACCTTCTCAATAAAGAACATCCACAGTTTCAGAGTTAGGCACATGATCGCCAACACACACAGTCAGCCATCTAACCCGCTCAGCCAGCGCAGCCTCCACAAAAATGGAAGTCTGGCAACTGGTAGTCTAGATCACGTACTCTGTGTCTGACTACACAATGCCATGTGGAAAAGTGGCCAAATGTAACATATGCCCGGGTTGGGATAACATTTTCTTAGTAAAGTACAGCCCCTAAACTTTTTGGGGTTCAGCTCCATCCATGATTCGAACCCCCCAATGTTGTGGAAACCGCGGGGGGTTAGATCGCTGACTTTGTGTTCTGGCGTTTAGGTGTCTGACTGAAAGTGTGAGTTCGAATCCCGGATGGGACTCATCATGTCAGTGAAAATGGATATTACAGAACATAATATCATAGATATGTCTGAACCCCCTTATTCTCATGCATTTTAATACAGCCGAAACTTTGGTTTGTTAGAATGTGCAGGTGTGTGAATATGAAGGGTCGCGTCGCGATACACGTAATAGGAAAGAAAATGGAAACGAACATAGGTATTATTATATCTCAATGCGTTGCTAACCTCAATCAATCCATCAACCAATCAACCAACCAGCCAGCCAACCAACCAACCATCCAACCAACCAAGCAACCAACCATCCAACCATCAACCAACCATCCATCCAACCATCAACCAACCAACCATCCAACCAACCAACCAACCAACCATCCAACCAACCAACCATCCATCAACCAACCAACCAGCCAAGCATCAAACCTATCAACCAACCATCCAACCATCAACCAACCAACCATCCAACCATCCAACCATCAACCAACCAACCAACCAACCAAGCATCAAACCAACCAACCAACCATCCAACCATCCAACCAACCAACCATCCAACCAACCAACCAACCATCCAACAATCCAACCATCAACCAACCAAGCATCCAACCAACCATCCAACCAATCAACCATCCAACCAACCATCCAGCCATCCAACCATCCAACCATCCAACCATCCAAATGCAAGTAAACCCACCATCGCTGACCAACCTGGCGTTTAGGTGTCTGACTGAAAGTGTAGTTCGAATCCCGGATGGGACTCATCATGTCACCAAATGGATCCATAATATCATAGAAATGTCTGAACCATTCTCATGCAACCAAACTTTGGTTTGTTAGAATGTGCAACCAACCAACCAACCATCCAATAGGAAAGAAAATGGAAACAACATAACTCAAATGCGTTGCAACCAATCAACCAACCAATCCCAACCAACCATCCAACCATCCAACCATCCAACCAACCAACCAACCAACCAACCAACCATCAACCAACCAACCAACCAACCCAACCAACCAACCAACCATCCAACCAACCAACCAACCAACCAACCATCCAACCAACCAACCAACCAACCCAACCAGCCAAGCATCAAACCAACCAACCATCCAACCATCAATCAACCAACCAACCATCCAACCATCCAACCATCAACCAACCAACCAACCATCCAAACCCAACCAACCAACCAACCAACCAACCAACCAACCAACCAACCAACCAACCAACCAACCAACCAACCAACCAACCATCCAACCAACCAACCATCCAACCAACCATCCAACCAACCAACCATCCAACCAACCAACCAACCAACCAACCATCCAACCAACAATCCCAACCAACCAACCATCCAACCAACCATCCAACCATCCAACCAACCAACCAACCATCCAACCAACCAAACATCCAACCAAACCAACCAACCAACCAACCAACCAACCAACCAACCAACCAACCAACCATCCAACCAACCAACCATCCAACCAACCAACCAACCAACCATCCAACCAACCATCCAACCAACCAACCAACCAACCAACCAACCAACCAACCATCCAACCAACCAACCAACCAACCAACCAACCATCCAACCATCAACCAACCATCCAACCAACCAACCATCCAACATCCAACCATCAACCAACCAACCAACCAAGCATCCAACCAACCAACCAACCCACCAACCAATCAATCAATCAATCAATCAAGTTTCGATTTGACTGCTTACCTTCTTAAATTTATCTTCCTTGGACCTGCTTGCCTTGTTGAGTCCCAACCAATGGAAAGGATCGACTTCACACACAACGATTATGTCAAACGCGCTACAAATACCCTGCAAATGCAAAACATCTACAACCATTTTACTGTGAATCACTATTGGCCAGACATTTTGTAAAGCTGAAACAGGTAAAACCTATAGAGATTGAGCAGTTTCATTTACAGACTAGCTTATCAGTCGTTGCCACTGGATAGGTTTTCCAGCATCTTTCTAACACATTTATGTCAAGATATTATGCTACAAAAAGAGTAACTTTATTATATATGACTAAGTGAGCATGTAGATATACTGAGTCAAAAAAGAAACTACACAAAATGTAATTTGAAAAATAATGAATAATTGTTCTCTGATGATACATCTATGTATCCGAAATGGGATCCCTATCTTTCGACTCTAGAAAAACGTTAGCAAAACCCACTCAAACCCATCCATTCGTCGTGCAAATGACGTTAGTGCCAAATCAGGTTTTGCACGTGCAGTCGATCACGTGATCTTCGCATCGAAGTTTTCTTCATATGCACGTGTTTGCATTGGCCTCAAGAATTGAAAAAACACTTTTAAACCACAGTTCTAACGGTACTTGAAATGCCACGATTGTCAAATGTGCAACGTGAACGTGCCGTTGGCATGTTGCAAGCGGGAAGATCAGTTATTGACGTCGCTAGAGCAATGGGATGCAGCCGTCGTACTGTGTATGACTTGCGAGGTCGTCTACAACAAACTGGCACCACTTCTGATCGCATTTTTATTCTTGTGACTTGACATTCTGTATACCCATGTTTTGGAACGGCGGTGTAGCCTAATGGAACTGATTATGGCACTGTCAGTGTATCGAGTACATCACACAGATCTCAGCAATGAAATAATAACAATTTCACCATCTTACCATCTCTTGTTCTTTTAAAGTGCCCTGAAGAAAGAATGTGAAGTTTCTTTTTTGACTCAGTATACAATAGCATTACAGTGTTGCTACTTTTCATTCATGAGAAATGATGGATTCTGGTACAACGGTCGTGCTGGGTGTTATGAAGTGTGTTATGATCAGTCTCATGAAAGCGCTCTGACAGTGACTTACTATGACAGTGATGCCCTGCTCCTTACAGAAGGTGGACACGACACACAGACACATACTGGCCAGTAAAGACACCAGGGAGAAGGACTCGGGACGGTAGCTGACCAAGCATGAAGCTGAAATCAGAAAGATCCATGACATGACACACAAACACATACTGGCCAGTATAGACACCAGGGAGAAGGTCTCGGGACGGTAGCTGACCAAGCATGAAGCTTAAATCAGAAAGATCCATGACATGACACACAGACACATACTTGCAAGTATAGACACCAGGGAGAAGGACTCGGGACGGAAGCTGACCAAGCATGAAGCTGAAATCAGAAAGATCCATGACACGACACACAGACACATACTGGCCAGTATAGACACCAGGGAGAAGGACACGGGACGATAGCTAACTAAGCATGAAGCTAAAATCAGAAAGATCCATGACATGACACACAGACACATACTGGTCAGTATAGACACCAGGGAGAAGGACTCGGGCGGTAGCTGACCAGGCATGAAGCTGAAATCAGAAAGATCCATGACATGACACACAGACACATACTGGCCAGTATAGACACCAGGGAGAAGGACTCGGGGCGGTAGCTGACCAAGCATGAAGCTGAAATGAGAAAGATCCATGACATGACACACAGACACATACTGGCCAGTATAGACACCAGGGAGAAGGACACGGGACGGTAAGTGACCAGGCATGAAGCTGAAATCGGAAGGATCCATGACATGACACACAGACACATACTGGCCAGTATAGACAACAGGGAGAAGGATTTGGGACGGTAGCTGACCAAGCATGAAGCTGAAATCAGATCCAAGACGACACACAGGGTATAGAACCAGGGAGAAGGACTTGGGACGATAGCTGACCAGGCATGAAGCTGAAATCAGAAAGATCCATGACATAACAGGTGAGTCGGTCAGTGGTTGAGTAACCGGATGGGTGAGTGAGTGAGTGAATGTTTTAGTCGGTGGGTGAGCGAGTGTGTGAGTGAGTTAGTGGGCAGACAGGTGGTTGAATAAATTCAAATGTCATTCAAAGCAATTTGTAATACATATTTAGCATTACAATATTATTTACACCCGTAACTGTCCTCATCATATATAGATGTGTCGAGAGTCGAACCATGGACTTCAACATGACGTGTCTGCCCATTACACACAAGGTTACCGCAGCACCTCTGTTGATCACCTGGTCCAGACTCGATTATTTACAGACCGATGCCAAATAGTGGAATATTGCTGAGTACTGCGTTAAACAACAAACCAACCAACCAACAGCTTGTATGTTATGGTCAGGATATGATAGCTATGAAGACTTACGTGAGATGCACCCCTTCATAGCTTGTATGTTATGGTCAGGATATGATAGCTATGAAGACTTACGTGAGAGGCACTCCTTTACAGCTTGTATGTTACAGTCAGGATATGATAGCTATGAAGACTTACGTGAGATGCACTCCTTCATAGCTTGTATGTTATGGTCAGGATATGATAGCTATGAAGACTTACGTGAGAGGCACTCCTTTACAGCTTGTATGTTATGGTCAGGAGATGATCGCTATGAAGACTTACGTGAGATGCACTCCTTCAGAGGCACTCCTGAGCTTGTATGTTATGGTCAGGGTATGATCGCTATGAAGACTTACGTGAGAGGCACCCCTGACAGCTTGTATGTTATGGTCAGGAGATGATAGCTATGAAGACTTACGTGAGAGGCACTCCCTGACAGCTTGTATGTTATGGTCAGGATATGATCGCTATGAAGACTTACGTGAGAGGCACTCCCTGACAGCTTGTATGTTATGGTCAGGAGATGATCGCTATGAAGACTTACGTGAGAGGCACTCCCTGACAGCTTGTATGTTATGGTCAGGATATGATCGCTATGAAGACTCACTCCCTGACAGCTTGTATGTTATGGTCAGGATATGATAGCTATGAAGACTTACGTGAGAACAGCACTCCTGAAGACAGCTTGTATGTTACAGTCAGGATATGATAGCTATGAAGACTTACGTGAGAGGCACTCCTTCATAGCTTGTATGTTATGGTCAGGATATGATAGCTATGAAGACTTACGTGAGAGGCACTCCTGACAGCTTGTATGTTATGGTCAGGAGATGATAGCTATGAAGACTTACGTGAGATGCACTCCTTCATAGCTTGTATGTTATGGTCAGGATATGATAGCTATGAAGACTTACGTGAGAGGCACTCCTTTACAGCTTGTATGTTATGGTCAGGATATGATCGCTATGAAGACTTACGTGAGATGCACTCCTTCATAGCTTGTATGTTATGGTCAGGATATGATCGCTATGAAGACTTACGTGAGAGGCACTCCCTGACAGCTTGTATGTTATGGTAAGGACATGATAGCTATGAAGACTTACGTGAGAGGCACTCCCTGACAGCTTGTATGTTACAGTCAGGATATGATAGCTATGAAGACTTACGTGAGAAGCACTCCCTGACAGCTTGTATGTTACAGTCAGGATATGATAGCTATGAAGACTTACGTGAGAGTCTCTCCCTGACAGCTTGTATGTTACAGTCAGGATATGATCGCTATGAAGACTTACGTGAGATCGCTATGAAGACACTCCCTGACAGCTTGTGTATCAGGATTACAGTCAGGATATGATCGCTATGAAGACTTACGTGAGAGGCACTCCCTGACAGCTTGTATGTTATAGTCAGGATATGATCGCTATGAAGACTTACGTGAGAGTCACTCCCTGACAGCTTGTATGTTACAGTCAGGATATGATAGCTATGAAGACTTACGTGAGAGGCACTCCCTGACAGCTTGTATGTTATGGTCAGGATATGATAGCTATGAAGACTTACGTGAGAGGCACTCCTTGACAGCTTGTATGTTATGGTCAGGATATGATAGCTATGAAGACTTACGTGAGATGCACTCCTTCATAGCTTGTATGTTATGGTCAGGATATGATAGCTATGAAGACTTACGTGAGAGGCACTCCTTTACAGCTTGTATGTTATGGTCAGGATATGATAGCTATGAAGACTTACGTGAGATGCACTCCTTCATAGCTTGTATGTTATGGTCAGGATATGATCGCTATGAGAGACTTACGTGAGATCGCTAGAAGACTTACGTGAGATGCACTCCCTGACAGCTTGTATGTTACTCCCTGACAGGCACTCCCTGACAGCTTGTATGTTATGGTCAGGATATGATAGCTATGAAGACTTACGTGAGAGGCACTCCCTGACAGCTTGTATGTTACAGTCAGGATATGATCGCTATGAAGACTTACGTGAGAGTCACTCCCTGACAGCTTGTATGTTACAGTCAGGATATAGCTATGAAGACTTACGTGAGCTATGAAGACAGTTACAGTGATGAAGACTTACGTGAGAGGCACTCCCTGACAGCTTGTATGTTATAGTCAGGATATGATCGCTATGAAGACTTACGTGAGAGGCACTCCCTGACAGCTTGTATGTTACAGTCAGGATATGATAGCTATGAAGACTTACGTGAGAGGCACTCCCTGACAGCTTGTATGTTACAGTCAGGATATGATCGCTATGAAGACTTACGTGAGAGGCACTCCCTGACAGCTTGTATGTTACAGTCAGGATATGATAGCTATGAAGGCTTACGTGAGAGGCACTCCCTGGCAGCTTGTATGTTACAGTCAGGATATGATCGCTATGAAGACTTACTTGGGAGACAGGCCCTGGCGTACAACAGGAACGATAGAAGGAAGGTCAAGGCACACAGCAGGTCGGCCCGACCCACGATCCCTGCTACCTGAAAAAATGAATTACATGAAATACAATAAATGGGTTACATGATGTCCGGAGTGAGTGAGTGAGTGAGTGAGTGAGTGAGTGAGTGAGTGAGTGAGTGAGTGAGTGAGTGAGTGAGTGAGTGAGTGAGTGATCGAGTGATCGAGTGATCGAGTGAGTGAGTGAGTCAGTGAGTGAGTGAGTCAGTGAGTGAGTCTCTTTTCTCACTGGGTCTCCTTTTTTGAATGTGTTTATTTGTTTGTATCAAAATATAAGAGACTAAACGTTAATCTAAGGCATGTACTGTAAACGTTTAAATTGAGTGAAATCACTTTGAAAAAATTCAGACCTTATCAACGCAATTCCGCATATAGACGTTAAAGTCTTTTCAGTATATGTACTGAACTTATGTCCATTCTTGTGATGGACAAATATGCATTAGGACAATGGAGCTACAGTTGTTACTCACACTCTCAGTGTGGATTGGATGCACAGCAAACAACACAGCACACAGGAGGGCAGCTCGGGGCGAGGCAAACACCGGCCTGGCAGATTCCTGGTCCACCTGGTAACCAGACATGAGGACAGAGAATACTGCCAGGAAGATGACCGACACCAAGCCGTGCAGGACGATGTTGACTACGTGGAATCCTTCAGGCTGCATAGATCCTGCCCATGCGTAGTTCCACCTGGAATTAAGGGGACATAATTCTATTCAGGCAAATATCACATGGCTAGAACATTACTTTTAATAACGTGTACAAACAAGAACAGTATCCTTTTGCTGGGAATTTTTTTGTCAAAACAAACCATCATTCCTAAATATCAATAGACCTCCAGGATGTGAAAACAATATCAGTTTCGGTACTTCCAATTGAAAGACACAACACTCCAAATTTTCTCAGGAAAATAATTTATGCAATGGTCAGTATCGATGACGTCAAATCCTCCATTTTCATGTTGTATTATATGTTGCACGGGAGCGGTGTTAATATAAGCAGTAATGCTTGTTCACCAATCCCAATTCATCTTCAGGAATAAAATATGTTTAAATCAAAGAAACACGTGTCTTTTGTAGCTGTTACGAACAATCCGGGTTTCACCAAATCAGTTTTATCAATATCACATTGTGAAACCAATATGAAACCAGTATTACATCAAGAAAACATAATAGCTCAGTTATTGGTTAAGGACATTATCCCTTGCTGTGACTGGCGATATGTCCTTTGTACGATATCCAAGGGGCTGTTTTAGAGCATGATTTGAATTATTATTATAGAAAGGGTATTTCGCTTAAACTTCAGTTATAAACCCAGGTTGTTAATAATGATGCATGTCCTTACCTGTAAGTCATGGTGGTGAGAGGTCTGTAGGATTTGTGGCTTCTATAGTCCAACTTGTTCCCCCAAAAGTCATGAGCGAAAATGGTGGAAAGCGGGGTATCGGGAAGCAGGTCTTTGTTGTACAGGACGGCAAAGTAATCATCAAGGACAAAGTCTCCGTCATAACTGTTCGCAAAACACAAGACTGCCAAACAGAAGACGAGGACAGATGCCACAGAGAATCTGAGTTTGGGTACTGGGAGCACGTCATCCCACTCTGACTCCTGGCTGCTGCTTAAATGGCTACTGATTTGGGGGGATCTTGAGTTTGTCATCGCAGCCCTCACTGTCACGGCCTGTGGCCTGTGGATAAAACTTTGAGTGTAATACTAGCAGATGATAGCGTTATTTCATAGGTGGTAGGACAATACGCCCACAAGGGCATAACGCCCCCAGACAAACGGTAACCGGACAAAATACCTCCCAAAAGTGAATCGTAGGAGCGTCTTCATGAAACTTCAGCAGAACCTTTAATCTAAAGCTAAAGATGAGTAGGGGGGATTTTGTCCGTTTTAATGTTAAGGATTGGGGGGGGGGGTTAGTGTTCGGGATGGGTTGGGTTTTGTTTTGTTTGTGTTGTTTTGTTGTTGGGGTTTTTTTCGGGTGGGGTGGGGTTTTGTTTGTTTTGTTTTGTTTTTTGGGGTGGGGGTGGGTGGGGAGGATTTGTCCGGGGGTATTGTCCTGGATTCAGACAAAACGTCCCTGAGCGAAATGCCCCCATGACTCCAAACCTCAATGGGCAGGATAAAAGGTCCTGAATGAAAAAAAGATGTAATACAATACCAACAAATTTTTTTGAGAACATGACTTTAAAGAAGGAAGGAGGAAATCGTGAAACACTTAATTTACTTTCATTTGTACTCAACATATAAGAACGTATCTATGTAACAACATTTTAAAGACCATCATAATAAACTCCATGTTCACTAACGTGCCACAATGAGTACCTGTCCACAAAATCAAACATAAGAGGAAGTGACCAATTTAAGCCAATTCTCTGAAACAACATAATAGTATTTAGACGACTTCATTCCATTGTTAAAATAACAACACCGTAACTGAGGAGCCTGGGTGCATATGGCTTTCACATATGCTACTTACCTGTAACAACTGTCAGCAGTGGGAGGAAGTGCTTAGAAAACATCATGTTATCACCTGTCAACTCAAAATCAACACAAAGGGTGTTTTATCCTATGGGTGGAATTTTGCAAGGGCTTTTTGTCATGGGGGCATTTAGCCTAGGGTTTTTTTTGTCCGAGGGCTTTTTGTCAAAGTGGGCTTATTGTCTGTCCATGTTTCATATGTATACATTGTCAGTTGTGTAGTTATCGAGCGTGGCGCTTTTATGGCAACAATTATGCTTTTGTCAATATTCTAGCACTGTTAAACCAGAAAAAAAAACAAGTGTAGGCCTTTCCCAGTAACAGTTGTACAAGTTTATAATGAATACAACACATTTGTGTGGGTGGGTGGATCGGAGACATGGGTGTTTGGGTGGGCCAGTGGATGGTAGGTAGGGAGGGAGGGAGCAAAATAATCCACTAACACTTAATACTCCGTGAAATGGAAGCAGACACGTGGTCATGATGATGAACATGTTCCATACATGTTTGTGTATAGTTCACTTACTGACTAGTCCGTGCTTGGGGATTCTTGCTGGAGCCGTTAATGTAACTGCAGGAACCTTGACATACAGGACATACAGAGGTGTTGAGTGTCTTCCTGGAAGGTTAAACTACAGGACATACAGAGGTGTTGAGTGTCTTCCTGGAAGGTTAAACTACCATACGTACAGTCAGTGTTGAGTCGCTGTACCCAAACATTGTCAAACACGTCGTTGTGGGAACATGTGTGTCTTATCGACTACTCAAGCCCGACACAAATCAATGTAGCCTCTGACAGTGGTAACACGTGTTTACCATGGTGGGCAGTAAAGTCTATGGTTTAAAAATCAATGTGGTATGAGTAATATAACTCGGAATGGGGCTTGTTTGTGTTTGTCTCGATATTACGCTGTTATACGATCTACTGAAACGTTAGGTTTACTATTGCCTACAGTGTTCATAGTGGACTTACGCCTACTCTGAGTCTTAAGAAGGGGGCTCAGTCACGCTTACCTGCACATAAGTAGGCTGGTCCGCTCACTGTACACCATCGCCTACAGTGGCATCAGATGATCAATTCAGAAGGAATCTGAGAAGAGTAAAGGCCAGTGGTGAAATGTATCTTAAATTTAGCTAATTTGTTATCATTAACTTAGACTATCAACACGCAAGACGTCTTATTGTCTGTACTCAAGTGTGTTGGCAATAGTGAATAGTGAGAAGGAAAATTGTATTAATGGCAAGGAAATGGATTACGAGAAAATAATTGCTATGAAGTTATGTGGTACAAATTATGGTGAATCCAAAGAAAGTCGCGAACTTCACGTCCCAGAAAGGAGGACAGCAGATCCTCTTGGAAGGAGGGGCGGTGGGGTAGCCTAGTGGTTAAAGCGTTGGCTCGTCACGCCGCAGACCCGGGTTCGAATCCCCACATGGATACAGTGTGTGAAGCCCATTTCTGGTGTCCCCCGCCGTGATGTTGCTGGAGTATTGCTAAAAGCAGCGTAAAACCAAACTCAGTCAGTCAGTCAGTCTTGGAAGGATTTAGATATAGACGCAACAACCGGCGACTGACTTGTGTATATCGGAAGTGTGTACAATTAAGGGATGTCTTGGCAAGTGTACTACTGTTGGCCAGTTCGCCAAAAGCCAGTCTCCACAACCATCCACGAGAAGACTAAGCAGCCTGAAGACTGCCAGCATCCCCCGTCAGAGAGTGCAAGCTGAGACGACACCAGTGAAGGTAATCTACGACGAGGAAATCAACCAGTCCCCACGAGACGAGGCAGTCGTTTCACTCCATGAAGAGTGACCTGTACAAGCAGAGGAGGAAGACGTTTCCGCCACTTCTCCAGTCGCTGAGCGAGGTTGATCTTCCAGACTGCTACAAGGAGACGACGGACGGGCAGCCCTTCCTCTGCGTTGATGGCGGCCAGGACGACAAAATCCTCTGCTTTGCCACCAGCGATAGTCAACGCCTACTTCAAGAGATGGATGAGTATAGGAGAAGAAGTCCTCGGTGAAAAAAGTCCTTTTGAAGTAAAACTGATTTAGTTATTTATTTGACAAGATTGACATCAAACGCGGAAGTTTTGAAAAGCACTTTTTGAAATCACCTTCCAGCCCCTCAAGTCTCTGGTTAGATAAAGCTACACGGAGAAAGCCTGGGGTGCCGGCCAAAAGTCACTCAGTACAAAAGCCCCTTGGTACAAAAGCCCCTAGACCATAAGCCCCTCTGGACAAAAGCCCGTCGCTAATCTGAGCACCCCTGTCAAAAGCCCCTGGATTCATGAACTAGTGTCTGTTTGGGTCAAAATGATACCGATGAATCACAATCTAACTCCAAGTCGGTTCATGACCAAGCATTCATTTGAATGCACAATGTAATGAAAACATCAGACCAACTCTGGAAAATACTATCATAATTTTGTTTTGATTTTCCGTGTGGAGTTTTACGAGGGTAAAGTAGCAGTAGTACTGTTGTAGGAACAGCCTCAGGGGCTATGGTGTCAGACTTTAGGGTCCTATATTGATATGACATATGTTAGCGGCCACTACCGTCGCATCCAGCATCCACGTGGTCCTGCTGATGATGTATAACCGTCGGTGACAATGAGAAGGATTCTTCCCTCCTGAATCTGATTTGGTTAATTATTAATTCAGACCGCCGCTTTATAGCTGGAATATTGCTGAGTGAGGCGTAAAACTAAACTCACTCACTCACTCACAATTATAAATAATGATGCAACACAATTTTTCATGTCATTAATCATTTCTTGTCGATTTGTTATCATTTATTTTGATGGTATTTATTTCTTACTTACTAAAATTATTTGCTAATTACATCTTAATTCATATATTACTTAGGGTCATTATATTCTGAAGCAATAAAATGTTTCATGTCATTAATTATTTCTTATCTTCAGTCTTATTTTCCCATTTACACCTAAAGTGAAGGGCTTTTGTACACTCAGGGGCCTTTCTCCCGGGTGGCTTTTGACCTAGACTAGTAAACCTGAAGCGCCTCCGCTGCGCACTAACGATTTCTTGAAATATCACCCTGATGGGAATTGAATAGAACAGATATTTAGTATAACAGCTTGGTATTGATAAACTAAGTTGGCTTTGAGGAAGTACAGCTGTGTACAATATTTATTACATTCATAGTTCTATAGTCCTGCACTACCCGTGTGCAATATTTATTACATTAATATTTATATATATATACTTTTATTCCTCTTGAAGAAAGTACAGTGATACTGCTGGGCACATGTTGCGTTAATTGATGATTACTATGATCAATGAAATGTGACAAATGCGACAATGTGTCAAAAGCGATACTGCGACAACCGCGATATTAGATGCATGTCTCTGTAGGTGAATGTTCGGGGCATACAGTCCTCTGCCGATTACTTTGGAGTTGTCCATGATTGTCTCCGAGTCCGAGGCCTACATGACAGCAGACTGGGGTTCAGGTCATAGTCTGCTTCAGCGTGTAGGTTAGCACTACACTCTACTGGTGAGACACACATGATTTTGCACTATAAGTCCTCTCGGGAGTCCTCTAAACTGGTACAGTGACATATCTGGTGGATAACGAGGTCACCATACATTTGTCCGCACGACTCACATCGTCCACAAGCAGCTCCTGGTCACCATGCAGCACAAAGGTTCACTACGAGCGGCAGCAGTCTTCAGAGTAGGACGGTTTAGTGTCTATTCGCCTACATCTCAATTCGCCTACATCTCATTTCGCCTACATCACATTTCGCATACAAAACCAATGTAGGCTAATTGGGATTAGAAAATGCACCCTACTCTTATAATGAACCTGACTCACTGGTCAGTGCCATACTAATCAGGCAAATCTTCCAAATTATCCTTACTCATCTTTAAATTACTTTTTAACGACACACATTTTGGAAAAAGTAAACATAAATGGATAATGAACATTAAGCATATTAATGACGAACTTGGTCTTCGTTATATCTGGAATTCCCAAAATTTTGAACATTTGAACATAACTTACCCATTGAAACAGGCCGCTGGGGCAATATTCAAAAACGTGACAGAATATGTAAACTTTGTAATGGTAACGATATTGGCGATGAATTTCATTATTTATTTATTTGTTATCACTTTATAAATGCAAGAGTTAAATATTTAAAGCCATATTTTTATTCCAAACCAAATTTTCATAAAATGTATACATTATTCAATAACAATAAGAAAGGTATTCTTAGAAAACTCTCTTTATTCTGTAATGTTATTATAAATGTTTTTAAGAATCGTCGGTAAGAATACTTCATCTAAATATTTCTATTATCTTTATGCAGTCTATTTGCGGATAGAGTTGCAATCTATCTGTACTACCCATCAAAAGTTTAGACTCACTAGTGTAAATTTAGCCACTTACTTCAGTCAACTGTTCTAAACTAGATTTTGCGAAATATTCCATACTGTTTAAAGGTACTGTTACACATGAATTGAAAAGATTATTGTAATGAGGAAACGACACACCTTTCCAAGCTTCCAGGGCATGTGAGGGGTGATGTCTGAGTGAATGTCCAGGAAGTGTGGGTCTAGGTCCACAAGTAACCTTTGCTTCTGCGTCCACGCTTCTAGTTCATATAGCCTAACTGTCTCCTTTACTTTACTTTTCCATAATTTTTGAGCCATAAACGAACCGGATATAACAAATTTTTCAAGATGATCTACAAGTCCATACTTTGAAAGTACCCTGTGTATGTCCTGGACAAAACCTAAACTAGATACAGCACAGTTGTATCGGTGAAGAGAGAATCTTGTCAAAAACAGCTTCTTTGGAAGGAGGTGGTTTGAACAGTGACAAAGAGTTCACATCCAAAGAGGGCTTTTGCGGTGCAAACAGACTGAATCAGCTTAGAGCTAGTTAGGGGGTTCAGTGCTTTAGCAGGAGACCTGAACTTATAAGGTCTGTAGAAGAGGTGAGTGAGTGAGTATGTTTTTACGCCGCTTTTAGCAATATTTCAGCAACATCACGGGGGGGGGCACCAGAAATGGGCTTCACGCATTGTACTCATGTGGGGAATCGAACCCAAGTCTTCTGCGTTACGAGCGAACGCTTTAACGTTCCTCTTAGATCTGACTTAGAGTAAAATGGCAAAATTATTTCTTCACAAAAATTTAAAAGAAACATTTGGTTTTGAATTGTATTTGGATCTAGTTAGAAATCCTAGTGATAGGAAATTAATCATTCAAATGCAAACATCTAATCATCGCCTTATGATAGAAAATGGTAGATACAGTAATATTCCAAGGGAAGACCGTATTTGTGATTATTTTAATAGCCAGGGTAAAATCTTTGTTGAAGATGAGTATCATTTTATTTTGATTTATCCTAAATATTTACAGTTTAGAAAGTTATATATTAAAAGCTTCTATCGGGTTAGATCAAGTGTTTATAAGTGTATGTTACTGTTTAGATATTCCAATAAATCTGCCTTGCGAAACTTAGCTTGATACATTAAACTCTCTAATGATTATTTTAAGAACTCAAACACAATACAACGTCCAGCCTCCATAAACTGTAAATATATCATATGTCCTTTACAGGCCTGTACACCATGTGTTTTTTAGGACGAGGAACACATTTG